GGCTGACTCCTCACCGCCCGGGGGTGGGGGTGGTAGGGGGACAGCAAAGGTGAAGACTGATGCTCTTTTTGCAATCAGTTGTGCTGTAGGTGGGGAAAGGACATTTTTTTGCTGCCTGTCCCTTTCCAAAACACATGGACGTGCCAAGTGATGTGGGTTGGGGCTCTGAGGCGTTACACATGTGGCACCTGCCCAGGGGCCACCTTGCCGAGGGGATGGTGGCCCCAGCGTCTGGTGGGCAGGAGGGAAGGAAGCTCTGGGAGCTGCACCCACCAGCACCCCACGCCGCGCCCAGACACAGCCCTACCCCTGCCCACTTCTCAGTGCAAGGGACACCCGAGCCCTGGCTTGGTCCCTTCCCCGTGGGGTGCTGCCCCTCTGCCCGCCCCGGCGGTGGCTGCCTCCTGCTGCTGGTGGCACCGAGCTTTTGGCCGGTTAGAGAAGCAGCCGTGGGGGTGGGTAGGGGCACCCGAGCTTTCCAGCTGCATGAGCACAATTAGCACCCCGTTAATAACCACAGCAGTGCCACAGCATCGCTTGGGCTTTACCAACTCACTGCAGAGAGACACAGCCCCTGGTTTAGTGCAGGGAGAAGCAACACCTCCCCAAGTGACTGGGTAAAGCTACACCTGCCCATGTCTGCAAACACCCTCCCTCAAAAAAAACCCCATCCTGCCACACACCCCCCCCCCTCCCCCAGCAGGAAAATGGGGTGGCCATGGGAGAACCCCCACCCTGAGCTCAGCCTGGCCCTGACCAGTGCGAGGCACTCGAAAGAAAGCAACAGAGAGCAAACTCAGGCTCTTGTTAGCTGGATATATTTCTCTTTTTTTGTTGTTGTTGTTGTTGTTGTCAGTGGGTTGGTTTTTCACAGAACACTTCGCAGTGGAGGAAAACGTGGCATCACAGCCCATGGGTCCGGCGCTGGCACCTCACCTCGGCACGGGACCCGCCGGCAACACGCTGCTCCCATCCCTCCTCTTGCCCGTCGGGTTTCACCGCTTTCATTCATTGGGTGGGGTTTTTTCTACCTTTTTTTTTTTTTTTCCATTTTTTTTTCTTTTTAAACATTTCTCAAGCTTTCTCTGAAGGAATGGCCACTGGCTCTCAGCTAGCAGAAGGAGACTACGGAAGAGCTCTGGGACATGTGGGATGGTTTCCTTCTCCTGCCTCGCAGCTGACTTGGTCGAGATCATTTTCCAACTCGTTTTTTATTAAAAAAATAAAAAAATGCTCCAACTATCAGTTTTACAAGGCATACAAAATCTCTAAAAGGGAAACACAAGCGCAAGGTGCTGAGGTACGAAAACCTGAGGTAGTTTTTGTGTGTGTATGTATGCAAGTGTCATGGGGGCTGTTGCGTTGAGTTTAGGGTTTTTTTAATTTTAAAAAAATGTTACTGGCTGTTCTTCCAACCTCTTGTAAATGTTTCCCTGCCCCCCTCCTCCCCCCCAATTACCCCCTCCTCTCCCTGCAATAGGGATCTTTCCCCAAAGATCCCTGCCCAAAGCAGGCAGGGCTGGTGCTGCCCCTTGTTTTCTAGGGATATTACCCTTGAGCATGGCTGGGTTGGGCAGTGATAGAGAGAGGGGACAGACAGCTGGAAAGGGGGGACAGAACGGATGCAAACCCCAGTTTTGGACTCTGTGAAGCAAAGAGGAAAGGGTGCGTGAAAGAGATTCTTCTTTTAGGAGACGGTATCCCTTCTGTTGGCTCATACAGGCACTGCTCTTCTCAAAGCCCTTAAGAAACTGCTTTTTAACAGTATTTTTTTTTTCCCCTGCTGGCAATCCTACATCTCTACTGTGCATTAAAGAACCAATGGACTAGCTCATTTCCTTAAAATCTAGAAAAGCCTGTTTTTGCTAAAAACAAACACCCGCCTCCCCCTGACCCCTTTGAAATTAAAAAAAAAGAAAAAAATTCTTAAAAAATTTAAAAATCTGCGTTAGTTTCATTATCGATATATTAATTCTAAAGCTGATGAGTGCCACACTGTGCGCCGCAGCCCCCCACACTGGGCAAGCTCCTCCGGCCGTGCCTGGATGAAACGGGTGGCTTTTAGGAAATTAAAAATAAAAATACCTCTCTCTGCCTATGTTAGTCCAACTAAAGGGATAGCGTCGGGAGGCGATGGAGTAAGGGGGAGGCTGTGGGAGGGAGAGCCCTCCCCGTACCCCCCCGCTGTGCATCCCCGCAGTGCCCTGGCCGCGGGAGCAGGGCTCGGGGGTCTTTGGTTTGCTCCCCTGACCTGCTGGGGGGTCTGGCGGCGGCAGTTGGGGTTACATTCATCGGGCGGTGCTGGCCGGCACGGCGGGAGCCTCACTTGCTGTGCTGCGAGGCCGGGGCTCCCTGAGCGTGTTTCTGCTCCTGTTGCTTCACCTGCTGTACGATTTCCCTGATCTTGCGCTGTGCAGTCTTGGCGGGGGGGGGGGG